ACCAACAGCTAAATTTGGTGGGACTAGAGGTTATAGATGTGGGTTCTCATGGTTTTCTTCGGGATACAATAACAATAGATATTGTCAGTCAATAATTTCAAAATGGTGAGTAAAGGCAAAATTAGAACATTATTTCAAATCGACTGTGCAACTAATCTGAGAAATTTGAGTGGTTCAGTATTAGAGAATATGAATGGAGAATTACTTGGTGTACATAAAAATTACATTTATATGTCAATTGACTCAACCATAAGAAAAATGGGTTCTTTCAGATATGATCCATAAATTGAAGTCAAATGCAAATCTAATCTTTTTTTTCTCCCTCTTCAATATTAGCCAGTTTCTCCCCACTATCTCCCTAAAACCACATATAATAACATAAATGTCATTATGTTTATAATTATCGATTTTTTAAGGAAATTTTAAAAAGACATAACCATCCTAAGATATATCAAGTATTCACGAAAATGCCATCATCTTCAATTTCGCCAACTACCATTACCAACCAAAATTGAAGCTCTAAATGCTTATTTGGCCGCTCAAAACTTCATTCTATCTTCAAATTTTTCTCCAGTTTCATCTAAAAATCTCTTTCTTGGTCGACATTGATATGTTTGAGTACGCAAATCATATATTTTGTGAGATTCTTGGATAACCGAGTTCTGGGCTGGTTTGTTTTCCGTGCATTTCAAAAATTCTGAACTTCTGTCAAAGTTAATCGAGTTCAAATTGGAAGGAGGTAAACATCTAATTCTTTTCTTTAACATTGGGCTATGTTTCGCGAAAGTAGACTTTTTTTACAGTCTGCTAGTCAACGCAAAAGGTTAGATTTGCAATTGACCTTTTGGTATTTTTTTTGAAAGTAGACTTCTTTCTAAGTCTGCGAATTTTCATTTGAATACAAAAAATAACGTGTAGACTTCTATTTCAGTCTGCGGAAAAACGAGGATAGTTTTGCATTTGACCGGAAAATATTATACTTTGACTTTTTCTGCAGACTTCGTTGAGACGTCTGAAAAAGAGAAGTTTGACCTGAAAGGTTATTTTTGCATTTGACCAAGATGTTGACCACCTTTGACTGTTCCAGCTACGAATTAAATTTATAGCGGACTTCTAAATGCAAAAATCAAACGAAGTCTGCTATTAATTTAATTCAGAAGTCTGCTACGAAAGTCAAACATTTGGTCAATTGCAGAAAAAACCTGCAGCAGACTTCGATTATAGTGTAGACTTCTTCAGCTGACTTCACAACAACAGCAAAGACTTCTTGCCTCTTACAGCAGACTTCAAAAGAAGTCTGCTGTAAAAGTCAAACGTTTGGTCAACTGCAGAAATAACATTTTTCATATGCAGACTTTATATAGAATTCTGCTACGAAAGTCAAACATTTGGTCAATTGCAAAATTAACCCTGTCTTTTTGGCAGACTTCTTCATGAAATATACCTGGTGGAGTTTTGCTGGAAGTCTGCATTTTTTTCATTTTTAAAAAGCATTTTTTAAAAACTTTTGTGTGATGAATTTTTTTTTTTAATTTTTATTCTTGTTGTCTAGGTATATTTTCCTTCACCTGTATTATTTTGGTATGCTGATGTGTTATACATTAATAGTTATGATTTTTATAGATTTGAAAGGTAATTAGCACATATCAGCAGCATTATGCTAGTGAAGTCTGCTTGGCAAAGGAGAATAACACAGTAGACTACACTTGAAGTCTGCCTAATTATTTTAACAAAAAAATTGTTTTCGAATTAATGGTATATAAATTTCTTGTTTGGACATGTTGATTTGCCTTTTTTGTTACATATACGTGAGTTTCACGTTGATATGTGTTATAATTAGAAAGTGAAGAATTTTCTTGAATGTTTAGACTTTTAGCCGATTATAAAGAAGTCTGCTCTATGTTACTTGGAAAACACGGTTACTTATGTGGTTTACCTTTTTTGCAGATGCCGGCTCAGTTGCATGTTGTATTTGGAGAATGGGTTATGGGTGCTCAGTCGTGGCATTTTGTGGTGGATAATCGCAAAGGAGGGAGGTTGTTCTTCTTGAATGATGGTTGTACACATGGAGAACTCGTAGCTATGGCTCTAGATGATTACATGCTGGATGGAAATACGGACAACGTATTTATCACTTATGCATTGCCAGATTCAATGTTAGCAAACATGGCTCCAGATACCCCTCCTATGCATATTACAAATGATAGACAAGTACAGAGCTTGATTCGGTTGAGTAAGATGCATGTTATACGTCTTTGTGTATCTAGTCGCAAGGACCATGATGGATGTACTGGTGGTGTTGATGCTGCTGATGGGTATTCTGTTGAAGGTGGGAATCAAATTACAGAGGAAGGTGAAGATGAAAATGTTGATGAGTATGATGATGATGAGATAAACGAGGACATCAAAAACGATCCAGTAAAGGAGGAAGACGGTACTGACTCTGAGGATCAGGACTCTGAGGATCAGGACTACAGCCAATATGGGAAAGTGAAGGATGAGAATTCAAATTCTGATTCGGAGGGTGAGTGGATTGAAGAACCGGTTAAGGCTCCTCAAAGAGGATATGAAAGAAATTGGGTTGACAAAATAAAAGTAAATGGAAGTTTTGCTACAAAAGATTAGCTGATTTCAGAGATCATTTAGCAACGTCTGTTTGTTGCTAAATGTGCTGTTAAAAGATGCCTATGGAGAGTTAGAGCAGCTGTAAAGAACGAAGCAAAGACGTTTTGGATCACAAAATATGTCAAAACTCATACATGTTCTGTTTCAGATCAGTTGGCTCACCGAAAGCATACGACTCCAAGATACATTGGGAAGTTATTTATAGAGCGTGTGGGAATAATTGATGGGATTACTGCGCAACACATCAAAGATTCAATGCAGGTGATGTTTGATCTGAAAATAGACTACACAACTTCGTATAGAGCTTTGATGTATGCACAAGAATGTGTGAGGGAAACCCCTGAGGATGGATATAGTCGACTGCCTTCTTATTTGCATCTGATTGCTGAAGGAAATCCGGGTACTATAACTGCCCTTGAACGCGACAGTCAGAATAGGTTCAAATACATATTCTTAGCCTTCAGAGCCTCCATAGCTGGTTTTCAATATCTCAGACGGGTCATTGTTGTCGATGGGTGTCATCTGACTGGAAAGTATGAAGGGACTCTGCTAGTGGCGACAGCACAAGATGGTAACTTCCAGATATTTCCACTAGATTTTGGAATAGTGGACTCTGAGAATAATTACGCATGGGAATGGTTTTTTAGAAAATTGCGGGAGTGTTTTACAAACGAGTATCCGTTGGTGATAGTTTCAGACTGGCATCATTCCATTAAGAAGGCATGTAAGACTGTTTTACCATGGGTAACACGCGGGATATGCTATTATCATCTGTAACACAATATTGTCACTAAGTTTAAGGGGAAGCATCTTATGTACTTGGTCAAACGTGTTGCGTATGCATATACGGTACATGATTTTAACCGGTATATGGACAAGATAAGGCATTTAAAACCTGACCTTGCAACGTACCTGGAGGAGGCAGGCATTCAGTTGTGGTCAAGAGTTCACTTTCCGGGTGATAGATACAATATAAAGACGAGCAACATCGCAGAGTCTATCAACTCCACTCTCAAATGGGCACAGGGATTTCCCATAGTATTCCTGTTAGAGTACTTACGGGAGAAGCTAACAAAGTGGTTTTTTAAAAGGCGGGAAGATGCTTTGAGTCTTCAAATCATCCATACTCGGGGAGTTGAATATTTGTTGGCAATTCGTTCACATTATGCTGATAATTTGACGGTTGAAGGCATAGATGGTTGGCGATTCAATGTGAAAGGAGGATCACATAACTGTGTCGTTGATTTGGAACTTTGAAAGTGTAGGTGTGGCGTGTATGATATTGAGAAAATACCTTGCTCTCATGTTATAGCCGTTTCAGATGCAATGCATATGCATCTGGCCACTCTTGTATGCCCGACATACTCCAAAGATTACTTGTATGCAGCGTACTCGCATAATATATATCCTCCAAGCATTGCAATGAAAACCGATGAAACAACACAATGTCTACCTCCGGAAGTCCGACGTAAAAAAGGCAGGCATAAGAAGTCAAGATGGCAAACTTGGCTGGAAATTTCAAGGCATAAGCAAAAGAAACCCTGTAAGATCTACAAGCAGTACAGTTGTTCGAAATGTCACCAACCAGGACATACCAGACCGGATTGTGTAAGTGTTATGTTACCTCATACGTTTAAGGGTTACATTGGTTGAAGTTAATTTCCTCTATTTTTTGCAGACGTGGAAGTTAGGATAACAGAGGGCTACCTATAATAGCAGACTTACACTGAAGACTACACATAAAAGTCTACTAACGTAGTCAGCCCAAGAAGTCTGTAGACCAGGTAAGGTAAATCATATTGAAATATGTCTGTTTCATGTCTATGTACGATCATTCTTAATTATTGTTATAAACTATGCGATATAAGAAGATATGATTAGGCTAACCTTAGAGTACGTGAATTATCACAATAGCCACACTAGTTTATTACAAGCGTTTAGGCTAACAAAAGATACAACCACATCATTGTTTAAAATATTACTAAACAAACCGAAATTAGTTAAGAAATTACAGTTAAATAAGAGAACAACAATTCTGGCAGGTTAACCAAAAACTTCCAACCATACCACACCCAGCGAGAGTCCTTTCTCTTACAGTACAAAATATACATAGTTGGACATATCACTTACCTTCGTATACGTCCAACCATGGATAATCATACTTCTCTTCGCCGTTTACTCTTGTTTCATCAAATATCTCAGCTGCCATCGTGTCTCGGATGTTTTTAATGTTTGCATCACACAAGGTCTTAGGAAATGGCATCCCAAGAGCATGGCATTCGAGGTACTTCAGGCAGTAAACGCCACAGTCACCGCTTTGTCTGTTTTGTGGATCAAATTGCCCTTGATTCGCTCCCACGTGAATGGATCATAAGTCAGATTGATCCGGTCTTCAGTAGGGGCACATTCATGGAGTATGTAAGAACCAAGACGGTAATCGGAGTCACAGCAACCTCAATCTGAAGATCCGATGCATGAGTATTCGCATGGCTGTCCCAAATGACAATATGCTTCATCGGAATAGAAATCCACATTGCCACCCAGTGATCACCAGTGATGTGTAACATCGAGTACATGTCATCCACATCATACCCCCACGTCTTGTTACTAACGCAGTAAGTTGGCGCTGCGCCAGTGTAGTACTCGAACGAGCCAGCGGGAAGGAGCTTGCCTGAACCATCAGGGTTGGCGTGAGAGTCCACGAAATCCTGGTACTTGTGCCTCCACATTGTAGCAAAGTAAGAGTCAAGGAAGGTTATCTTGTCCAACCTAAACCACTCAGGATGCTTTGTAAATCGCATCCTGAGTAGGTTAATCCCAGCTTCCATGTACTGCATATTCAATGAAAACAATTATTCAAGAGGAGAAAAATATGTTGTGGTCATATCATATATATACTTGCGTAACTTACAGTGTCTGCTAGCCATTTTTTAGGGACTCTTAGAATGTAGTACCAGTCTGTGGATGACCATTTTATCCGCTTTGGATAGTTCCTGAAAACACCAACATTAACTTGTCTGATATCATCCACTATATATACAATAGAAGGAAGTCTGCTATAATAACTCCAAAACAAAGACTTACAGATCTTTTTTCAGACAATCAGTGAGTACACCGATCTTTTGCTTCACGTCTGTCATATCAAACGGATCATATCGGCACCCTTGGACATTTTTTTTTGGGATGATTTCCTTTGCTGTGCTGTTTGGTTTGAAAGGGCTTTGTTGTGTAAGAGCCAACTTTCGCAGTCGTTCACTCTTCGCACGGGCAACCAGTTGTGCCGCCTTCCTGCCTTTCTTGCACTTCTCTCTCTGGACCTGATCGAAGTCGATGTCGCATTTTGCTGGATCAACCATAACGACGCTTGGCTCTGGAGTTCCCTGCTTACCATCGTTCACGCTCTCACTCGGGACATCAGTTTGTTCATTTTGCTTAGACATAAAATTACTATGCAAATATAAAGATTTAAACACACAACAATGATACGAAACCAAACATCAAACAACATTAAAGAGTACATATAAAAGCATTAAATATTTAGTGGTGACAACTCCACGGATAACAGATTACTAAGGTTTTAAAACAGATTGGTAAAGTTCGATGAGAAGTTTGAAAACAAATATGGAATTTTATTTTTTCCGCGATTTCCTTCCTCTTTTCTTTGGAGCAGGTTTTGAACTAACTCCGATATTGGGATCGGCGTCCGCGTCCGTTGGATCGTCACCACCGGGTTTTGCGCCATCGGCGTCTGCTTCACCAGTCTGAGCCATATCCTCCTTTGTACCTCCGGTCCCAGCTTGGAGGATCACTGCCTCTAATTTCTGCTCCACCATTCCCAGCTTTGTGTTGAGTAGTTCGATCTGAGATTCACAATCACTCAACCCATCCATCATCTTATTGAAGCAGTCGTCTATGTGGTCCTTCAGAATCGTGACCATTGACTCCTCTTCATCACCAGAGACTGGGCAGAACCCTTCGGACTTCCTAGATCACCAACTGATTCTGATCGCCTCTTCAGATCGACAGACACTTCGGACTTGACATACTTCGTCACACCTGTTGGAGGCCAATGACTCCTATCACATTTCCATTGTTTAGGGCCAAAATGACCATACATCGCTTTGATGATGTTGTCAGTCCTCGCGTCTTCTTCATCATTGTCTTCAACTTCCCAGCGCGGAAACATGTCGAAGGAGTCCTTAACAACGTAGTTGTTAATGCGTGTCTACATGAAAATAAAAACTGTGTTATATAACGTCTAATGTAGAAGTCTACCAACGAACTCTGCATTAGAAGTCTAGTAAGGAAGTCTGCGGTAGAAGTATATTACAGACGTCTGCACTAGAAGTTTACTAAAGAAGTCTGCCGATATAATAGTCAACCAAGTATGAATTCAGACTACTTACCTGTCGGAGCATATTCTCTTTCATAAATTTCCTCCCCCTGGATCCCTTGTAAGCTATCAGCGGTACCTTGGTGTCGTTTGGAAGTGGTTCACCAAATTTAGCAGCAAAGTCGGGAAGAGCAAAGTAAACCTAGACTTGTAGTACTTGAACAAACCCTTCAATGGTGTAAGACGACTTCCAAATTTCTTTCTCCTTCACCGACCGCATCAGGTGTTTAAAGGCCACTCTTCCCCAAAGGTAGTTTTCAAATGCATATAAATCCATCACAAGCCTTGCCAACCTAACCCGAATAGGCGAAGATGGCTTTCGTGCATCAATGTAACTAGCATAAATGCTAAGGTATCCCAGCCTCAACCGATCCTCGGAAGACCACGACCTGCATTCCTTACAAGCTTCTATCAAATTTTCAGTGTTCGGGCCTAAATCCTGATTGACTCCCAATCGCTCCTCAGTTATCTCAACCACCGGATCATCGAGGTTGTCCTCATAATTCAAGCCAGTAATATGTTCGAACTCATTCAAAGAAAAGCGGATCGGGATTAGACCTACGAGGCTCCAAATCTCAAATTTTTTCTTGCAAACTAGCTGCATGCCGAGAATGTAATGCACCAGTCTAGATGCCCAACCGAAATCCAGCTGACTGAACTTCAAGAACACTCCCAGTTTAGAGTTCATTATCTCTTCCCACTCATCTTGTGTGAGTGCTTCCTCGAGTGCAGTCATCAGCTTTGTCTCACCGCTATAGTATCCTATGCTTTTCAGCGGATACGCTCATCGCCTTTTGTGAAGAGACGTGGGGGGAATTCTGGGTTTTCCATTGGCTATTCTGACGTCTGCAAAACGAATTCAAATATTCAAAATAACAGCCTTAAAAGAAGTCTACTTATGAAGTCTCACGAAGAAGTCTACACATGAAGTCAACCAACTAAGTCTGCAATTGAAGTCTGTAGCCCTAATAGCGTAATTAAGACAGTTTCCAAAAAACTAGCCGCCGACAAAGTTCTCTAAAAAAACACAACCCGTTTTTAACTCCGTTTTACCAGATAATACTTCCAAAATAGTTTGCCTAACACTATACAAATCCGGTTAATAAATAAAAAGAAGTACAAATATCTATAACATAGCAACTATAAACTTGGAAAACGGGTGTTCGATTTTTGTCTGACTTTGGAACATATATCTACTCATTGTTGTCCGATTTTTAGAAAAACCGGTGTAGAAACCCAAACGACTAGGAACTTGGAACCCGTAAAGATATTTATGAACAAATTATAAGAAATTAGTGCAGCCAAATACCTTTTTACGACCAACGGCGGAAATGAACAGTTACGGACGGCGGTGACACCAGATCTGGAATAGGAAGCGAAGGGGATTAAGGTTTGTGCATAACACAGACTTCGATCCAAAAGAGAAGTCGGCATTATTTTCGACTTACCTTAAACGGTAAACAGATGTACAGTAAAAACTGATAACACCGGATTTTGACCATTTTTATGGATCACTTTAATGTCTTTTACATGTGTTTTTACTCCATTTTCAAAGGTTTTCAAAGGATTTCTATATTTTCGGATTTTAAAAGACTTTTCAGGTAATTTGGGATAAAGAGGCACAAACTGGAACAAAAATACTCTTTTGGATAAATGCAGACCGTCAGAACTCTCATGGAGAGACAAAGACCTTCTCACCATCCGATCACCCTCAAAATTGGACAACTTATAGAAGAATCAACCAACTTTCAAATGCACTTGGTTTGGAGACATTCCAACGGTTGGATCTCAAAATATTCTATTAGCCCCGGAGCCACTCAAAGACGGTCATCAAGTCACGCGACCGCAGCCAACAGCTCATTCCCCGCGGTCACAAGCCTCCCGACCGTGGCCAGCCACCTATTTCCCGCGGTCACGTCATTCCTGACCACGGCCGGCTAACTCCGAACTAAAGCCCATATTTCTGAAGCCCAAAGTCATTCTCAGCCTCAATTTCGGAACCTAGAGACCATGGAGTATTGAAGACTATAAATACTTGTCATTTAGGTCGTTTTTAGACACCACCCTTCATACTTTACAGAAATCATTTTCCTTTAGCCGTTTTTATGCGATTTTTGTAGAAGATTGTTCAAGTCCGAGTTCTTCAATAGAGAAGCTTTCTTCATCTCTTTTCTTTACTGTTTTTGATTACTTTTATTAAAACCAATGATGATGTCGACCTCAGCCATGTCTGAGTAGATCCCGAGTTGGGCTTAGGGTTCCCGAAAGGGGCTCTCATAATCGATTAAGACATCTAGGTTTATAGATCTGGGATTTCAACTTTGTTCTATGTTTATTCTTGTTCTTATTACATGTATGCTTGATTGATCACCTAGTATCTGATCTAGATAGTTAGTGTTGCGAAAGTTTTCATTAAGTATCAGCCCTAGAATGAAACAAGTGATTTTTCCGTAGGAGTGGAAACCCACCTGCGGCAAGATCGTGAGTATTGACGAGTCTTGTGCAGCTCTTGCGTTCTCTCCCTTCCAGGGCCAGAGTGGAAACCTACTGGTCAGGGTTGCGAGAAACAGTTGGTTATGATCACGACAGTGACGTAATCATACCGCCGTACTCTAGCTCTAGAACCCTATAAATTGATATCCCTCAATCCCAATCTATCTACCCTAGTGTTAAAACTGATTATGATCCCTGTAGAGTTCCCAAAAGCTCAGCGTTTTTAGCCATAATTTACAAACCAATCGATTTTCACTTGCTAATTTAGATCTGCATTTCAATTACTTTAGTTCGATATTTTGCTTGCTTTACTTCCTTTTCATTCGATTATTCTACTTGTTCCTTAGGATAGATTTATTTGCTTTCTTTTGTTTTAGTTTAATCCGTGAAAAACAACCAACCTTTTAAACCAATCTAGTCTAGACATAAAGTTAAAAACCGTAGAAGAATACCAGGCACACAAATCTCTGTGGATTCGATCCCTAAATACTACAACTGATTAGTTGTGCACTTGCGGCTTTCATTTGTTTTTGTTAAGGGTAAAACTTGTTCCCTGATGCAGTTGACACGCATCAAGTTTTTGGCGCCGTTACCGGGGATTTGTTTCGCTGCCTTTTGCTATTTTTCTTGTTTTAACTTCTGCTCTAGACACCTGATCTCTAGTTCTTTCTTAAAGGTTTGCTGAATTATCTTTCCCTTCTTTTGTTTTTCTCTGAATTGCATGAATACCAGGCGCAGACCTGTAGAAAACATTCCAATTCTAGACGAGATAGATAGACACGAAACAGAACTTCGAAGACTTAGACGAACGCAAGGAATGGCCAACGACGACCAGCCTGGAGATCCTATTAACCGAGCTTTAAATATGGACCAAGACGGGTCCGAACATGGAGAAAATGAAGAGAATGATCACAGAGGAGGTGATCATGCTCGACAAGATGGAGAGGAGGATGAGGTTCCTCTAAGAAACCACCAGAACCGCAAAAGAGAAGAACGTGAAGACGTTGATGCACCCATCAATGCAGCCGATGGTGACCACCAAGGAATGCAGCCGAATGGGCGCGCTAACCGCCCTGTCCAGCCAGCAAATCAACACCGAAGACAAGCCAGAAACCACCGTATAGCTGATTTTGATGAACCTACTCAAAATTTTCAGAACCGATCTGCAATCCAAGTTCCATTTCCGAACCGGAATGAGTTTGAAGTCAAGCCTCAAATCATCTCATTGGTGAAGCAAAACCAATTCCATGGAGTTCCTTCTGAACACCCAATGGCCCATATCGAGCTCTTTGAAGAAATCTCAGCATGATAAGAACAAACCAAGTTCCAGCAGACTATTTAAAGTGTAAGTTGTTCCCTTTTTCATTAGCAGATAAAGCTCACCGTTGGTTGAAATCTTTGCCTGCAGGATCGATTACTAATTGGGAAGAATGTAAAACTGCTTTCCTGAATCACTTCTATACTAAGTCAAGGTCGAACTTGTTGAGAACAAAGATCACAAGCTTTCAGCAAGGACCGACTGAATCTTTCTATGAAGCCTGGGAACGTTTTAAGGAGTATGAACGTGATTGCCCTCACCATGGATTTCCTGGATCAAGCCTGCTGAGCACATTTTACCGAGGTTTGCAACCAAAATACAAACTTTCACTTGATACAGCTAGCAATGGAGATTTTGGAAAAAAGACAATAGCACAAGGAAGAGCCCTCATCGAGAATGTGGCTCAAGCCAATAGCAATGATTGTCCTGAATACGATCGCTCGACGAAGCAAACCGGAACAAACAACAAGGAGATAACCAAGTTGAAGAACATGATGAGCCAGCTTTTGAAGAGCAACAATCGCCCAAACCATGCTTGTGAGACCAACAATGGCGCAGAAGATGAAGGACCAAGTGATATCGATCACATTAATCAAACCTTTCAAGAAGAAGAGGTGAACAATGTAGGAGCACAAGCACCATAATCAAACCGCTTCAACAATGGTTTCAAAAAAAACTTCTGGAATGCAAATTACAACAATCTCTCTTACCGCAATCCAAATGTGGAGAATCCTCAAGATCAGTACTACCCACCACAGCAAAAATCCTTCCAAAACAAGTTCCAAGGTGGAAACTTCGGAGGGACAGGAGCTTATCAACTGCGACAGCCATATAACTACCAAGGTACGGGTTTTAACAATCAATTTGTACAACAGCAAGGAGTCACGACGAACCAGCTAGCTTCACAAATCGGTAGACTTGAACAGTCCATCCAACAACTTGTTATGAAGAACGAAAAAGCATCTAAAGACTTGAACGTGAAGGTTGATTGCATGTACAATGACCTGAACGGAAAGTTTGAAGCTTTATCTTCGCACGTCAAAAAGCTAAGACGTGCAAGTTGCCCAAACAGCCGACTCTATGAAGAGGCAAAGTGGAGTTCTTCCAGGAAGAGTTGAAGATAACCTTAAGAGGTTTTGCAACGCCATAACCACATTGCCCGAAGTACTGCGAGAAAGAGTCGCGGCGAGAGAGACCAGAGTGCAGCGCCGTTTTACAGTGATCTAGGGTTTTTTATTTATGGTAACAACTGGTAAGTTTCTTTATATACTAAGTTAAAAAAATTCCGGTTAGGTTAATTATTCCCGATTTATATCAATATTTAATTTTGATTTTGGTTCCGGTTTGACAAGACTTCGATTCGTAATCTGCAAACCCAAATTTAAACCCCATTTTGAATAATTTTATATTTGTTGTTCTAAATTGATTCGGTTATGTTATATCGTTATTTATAAACCTCATAATTGCTTATATATGATTTTTGAAAACAAATTTCCGCTCACAATTTTTTATATAATTTTAAAATTAAAATATACAGTTTATATTTATAGTAGACTTCTTTACAGTCTGCTCAGCAGACTGATAAAGTAGTCTGCAACCCTAGTTTATAATTATTCACTTTTTATGTTTATCCTAGATGGTTAAAAATGATTTATTTTTAATAAATTCTAATTTATACAGATCATACCTGTTGACATTTGATTTATAGAAACATATTTCAGTTTAATTTTTTTTAATATAATTTTAAAATTTAAATATAAGATTTAATAATATAGCAGACTTCTTTATAAGTCTTCTCTGTAGACTTCATTAATATTTGCAGACTTCGCAGGGTTATAATCGTAATTGAGCCATCCGTTTTATTGTTTACTCATGTAAGAGATAATAATAATTTATCTACCCCTCTGACCTATTTTTGCAATAGG